GTTTGCATTTGATCGCTCCCCTATATAGATATATATAGAGCGATCAAATATAAACCGCTCCCTTTTTGTACAAACTGTACAAACTAACATCAATCAGTAGCATATGATTGTCCTTTGACTTTATAATAGATAATTTTAGTAATATTTTAGTTGTGTCCAATGGGAAGATTATATATATTAGAGGTTTTTTAGGAAATGATCAATCAATTCATTTTTATAATAATCTTGAAACTGGTAATTTTTAATAGATACTTACTAACATTAATATTTTGTATTATTTTATTAAATAAAAATAATACGTCAATTTCAGAGTTTATTTATCATCATTTTTTTCTTAAGAACTTATTTATTTCATTTTCATAATAACAAAAGAAATCAGTATTTTTTTCCAATTTTCAAATCTTTCTAGATTTATTAATACTATAGTTATGATATTTTCCAGATTTTGAGTATATTATTTTGTTTCATTTGCAAAATTCATGAATAAATTAATTTCCTTACAAATTTCATTAATGAAATCATGTTATCCAGTTTTCAAAACGTTTCATTATGAAACTAATTTCATTTTGGTTGGGAACAATAAAACTAATTTCATTAATTAAATCATATTATTCAGTTTTCAAAATGTTTTATTCAGTTTTCAACATGTTTCATTCATGAAACCAATCATATTATTCACTAATAAATGCATATTATTCAGTTTTAAAATGTTTCATTTAGTTTTCAAAATGTTTCATTCGTTATTGTTGAGTAATAATAATTTTTAGGAAAAGGGATTTAATTCCGAGATTTCAATCATCTCAAACGTTTAAAACTTGTTCCCATTTTGCCCTTAATTGGAGAAAATAATAATAATTTTTCTTGTTTTATTTTTTTACCTTACTAAAACTAACTTGTTTTAATCATGACCTTTGATCATGAAAATGGATGGATGTGATTGGTTTGTAGGGTTTGTATGAAATAGATGGTTTGCAAAGTAAACCTCCTATATAATATATATATATATATATATATATATATATATAGAGAGAGAGAGAGAGAGAGAGAAAGAGAGAGGTTCAAATACTAACCCATTTTTTTGTGTTAACTATGCTAACCAACATCAACCAATCATGTTTCATCTTTTAGTTAGGTTCAAATGTAACTCACATATTAAGTGTAAGGGTATTTAGGTAATTTGTCATTTTTATATAACTCTCCAATATTTTAATTGGGGGTTACAAATCTTAAAATATCACTAATTGATCTTCATGTAATAATGACATGAAGTTTCACATTTGTTCATCTTACTGATTTTTACATTTCATTCTTCCTACAATGGTTTTGATATCGTAAATATCAAAAAAGTCCCTTTTGTAAAGATTCCGTTATAGTCCGAGTAATATGGATAATCATAGAGTGATACTAAATGTGATACATATGTGATACTAAATGTGATACTATTATTTCATAGAGTGATACTAAATGTGATACATATGTGATACTAAAAGTGTAAGGGTATTAAGGTAATTTGTCATTCTTCCTACATGTGATACTATTATTTCATCACATATGATACATATGTGATACTAAATCAGAGACGCAAGCGACTCTTGATGCGATCTTGGTTGTGGGCTAAGTCTTCCTTACACCACTATGCCCCTTCACATGTACTATCACATGTGATAGGGGTGTTTTTGATGTGATACTATAATCCACCATTACATGTGATGCTAAATCATAGACGTAGACGACCTTTGGCACAGCCCAAGTTGCAGAACATGTCGTCCGCACACCACCAGGTTCCCTCATGTGTATTATCACATGTGATAAGGGTGTTCATGCATTCTCGTAAAATAGAGGTGTTCTCGAACCTCCACCTATGTGTGTGTATATATATATATATATATATATATGTATATATATATATATGTATATATCAATATGGATATCAAGAAACCCTCAATTTCTAACACCTTCTGAATACAGAACTCATGGTGAAAGAAAAAGCAATATAAAGAAATACGAAAGCTTAGAGAGGAATATGTACCTTGAACCATAACAGTTCTCGTTGCATTTGTAAAGCAACTCCGGACACATCCTGCAATCTCTTTGTCTTTGCACTCTTGCCAACTAAATGCAACATGTTATTGTCATTATGATCTTTGAGAGGAGTTATCAGATCCTTCATTGACCCTATCTCGTACAATAAGTTGTAGATACCCTCATGTCGATGTTTGACAGCAATGTGAAATATACTTTGATTGTTATCATTTACCTTCCATATCAAATCAGGATATTGACGGATGAGCTCCACCACAAATTTAGTATTGCCCATTTCTGCAGCAACAAAAAGTATCCGAGAAGAGTGTTTTTGCTTTGTATTTCCCATCAATGGCGTTCTTGTTACTTTTGAAGTTGTTGCAGCAGGCCCGTTGAATAAGTTATGGATTTCAACAGGCATTTTGACGATATTATCAGAAATGAGTTTTAGTAGTTGCAGAGTTTGATCTTCCTTTTGAGAAGCTGGCTTCTCACCTTGCTTACTTGAATCAGCCGGCCCTCTGATTATGTCATCAATTACGTTCTTAGGCTTTTTCGCAATAGTTTTCCAAATGATTCGTAGTAATTGCAATGCTTCACTTTCTTTTTCAGGAACTCCCACCTTCAGACCAACAACTGCAAAAACTAAAAGCAACAACAAAAGAAGCCAAAATTTAAGCTACTAAATATACAAGAATACTATTATGACTCCCAAATTTCTGCTATGTCCCATAACTGAACCAAACAGATTCAATATATCCCGTCCAAAGGCAGGGTCTCTGTATCAAGAGACAGAGTTATGGTACATTGCGTATATCTTACATTTGGTAAAGAATCTACTTGACGAATCTTACACTAAGAAATACATTACAAGGAAAAATAATTTACTTGAACCTTATTATCATAGCTCGTCGCATGCATTTGAGAGGGTGTTTTGATTTCAAAACCAACATGAACTATATATTTAGGGTAGAAAATCTCGATAATTTACATTTTATATATAAAGGGTATTACACTAGAAACATTTCGGAGATAAAACTCAAATATATATACATATGTGTGTGTGTGTGTGTATATATTTGAACTTGAATTTAGAGAGCACTAAGTTTGGATCTCAAAAAGTCAGAAGTGAAATTTTATGTTGAAATTGATGGTGTATATATAATGAACATCGAGTAGAGATGCTTACTTGATCTGATTTTTCCCCATATAATATTAGATTTTGTTTCAATAAATGCATCCGGCTTTCGAGCCAAAACTCCAAGTACGCTCCCATAAGAAGCAAGTTCTGGGCAATCATTCAATATCCGTAGTGCAATGTCTATAAAAGATTTGACAATCACTTAATGAGGAAAAATGTTCAGACAAAATCAACAATGAAAATGACAAAGCATATTGATTTTCTACATGGATAACAAAAAACCATCTCCCCACCCTCTATTAGAACACAAAAATATGGAGCAAGAACATCTTAAAGAGACGAAAAAGATACATCAAAATGCAACGAGGTTTACCTTAGTTCCTATTTAGTGTGACAAATAAAAGAAATTCTCAATGGATGAAATGGAGTTTCAAAATTGCCTATTTTTTACACTTCAATAAACATTTTCTAAATTTTTCATAAATGGGTATCCATATCATCAAATGTTAGAAGATCAACAGGTTACTGGTCAAGAACAATTCAAAGAAATGATAGAACTTCACAACCATATGGAGGCATGATCATGATATCACTTGTATTAACTGCACCAGTGATCCAAATATCAACAAAGAATCATGATCTATGTAAATTCAGATTCAAAACAGCAAATAATCATGATCTATGTAAATTGTTTTGAGCTACCACCTCAAGCCAATGAACATCTTTGACAATTCGGAGATAAATGCTTATTAACATAGGTTTTGAGACATGGATTTGCTAGATTTGCAGCTATATGAATAACTAAAAGCTTCTATGTGACCTTGTAGTGTAGGATTACTAGATCAGACTCTAATGTAGTTAAATATTACTTTCAATACAGTAGGTAGAGAAAAGTACATATGCAAATTATGACAAACAACAAAATGAATGTGTAGGTGTGACAACTACATGCTAAAATGCTTACCGAACAGATCCGACTCAACACATTTCAGAAGAAGCCAGCCACGATTTTGGGGCGTCCAACCATCGCCATACAGCTTGGAATTATCATAGAGATACTTCACCATATCATGATCTCCAAATAAAGCAGCCATATAGAGTGGCATCATTTTTTGACTACCAGGGATCGTCAGCAAGTTCTTGTTCTTTTTCACCATAATTTTAACCATTTTAACATTTCCAGCTGCAGCTGCTAAACATAGCGCAGTGTTGTAGCTACTATTTTGAAGTTCTAAGTCCTCGTCTTTCATCATATCCACCAGATTTTCCACAAACTCTTCAACCCGTTTGGTTCTTTTTGCTGATGCTGCAACGTGGAGTGCTGTTTCATGATTTTCAGTGATACTAGACCGTACCAACTCCTTGTCTTCATCAAGGATGGCTTTAGCAGCTTTCCAATCACCTCTAATTGATGCTTCATATAGAGGGATGCCAACTTTGATGTAATTTTCTCTAGGTCCTTTAACGTAGTACCGAGGCAAAGTTAGTACTCTATTCATCTAGGAATAACTGAACTATTCTTTTCACTAAGATTAAGCATTTCTAAAGCATACCAATTTGAATTGTTCAATTTGGTTCAAAACATTAAACCAAGAACTCTAAAATTTGGGCTTTGAAATCACAACCAATATATTATACATCAGCACAGGAAATCAGTTCAATCTTAAGTAGACTTTCTAGGAAACAAAACAACAATAATACATAAAAAACCAAACCAAATGGACCCTGTAAATCTCATGCAGAGGACTCATGAGGAATTAAAAAGAAATGAAGCACCCTCAAAGCAAGGGGATGTAGGATTGTTGTCTGACTGTCGAATGAAACCAACCAACAATCCCTCATTTTCAAAAGTCACACTCTTCAAAAATCCACATTTAATACGAATGATTTATTGGTTACACATCTTTAAATTGCTAATGTTTTTCTTCTATTTAAGTACACTTAATGATGCTGATTTTTGTCCCATCATTAACTGTTCCTATTACTCTATGAGGTTTTAGCAAAAGCAAGCATATAAAACAAAGTTAAAGCAAATAGAGTTAAAAAAATGTTTATTTTTCATGCCTCAACGTTTATTATTTTTGTACGACGTGCGTGTTTGTGGTGAGCTTGTGCATAGTTGACTTTGAGCGAACTCGAACCAATGACCACTGTGAGCATACTAATATTCAACCAGTTGAGTTATGACACCTGTCAGTTCGAAGTCTCTCCAAGGTCATTAGGGTTTTCCGAGCATCTCCAATGCAAGGTTCTTATTAGCAAAAAGTGTAGTGGCCTGTAAAAACTACCATTGTGGAGAGGTTCCTATGAGAACCTCACGCTCTCTAGATGCTTGAACAAGAACCTAGGTTGTAAGAAGTGAATTTTTTCTTTTCTTTTCTTGACTTTATAATTATTAATATATATTAATATCATAATTATTGATGTCGAAAGAATCAACGAAAAGGAGGTCCTTATAGGAACTACCATTTTGAACTTTTAAAAGAGCTGTTAATTTATTTGATGAGTTAGAGTCGGTTGGCAACAAAAGTGCAAAACGGAGGTTCTTATAATCTCCATTGGAGATGCTATCTTCAGGTCCATGAAAAGCTAGCCAAAGACATCCACGGTTTCCAATAAAAATAAAAAAGGTTAGGAGCCATAATGAGCTTCAAGTTTCTCCTACACATTCATAAGCCATGGTTTGGGGTTCTGGTAAGTCACCAATGTAACGAAGCATCCTCAAGCTATTACAGAGTTCATTTTTAACCATTTATGCAAAATTCCCTAAAATTCTCGATTCAGTGTGGTGTAATATAGCAGTAGACAAACAAACAGAAAGCAGAAATTACCAGCAAGTAGATCTTGACGAGGGAGATTGAGTTGTGGTGAAACAACCGGGAGGTTGATTTCCTGCTGCTGCTTCTGGCTTAAGGGAGTCTGCTCATCAATTGAGGCTAATTGGATACCTGTGTGCTTCATCTGCACAGTGAAAACATGAACGATTAAAACCTAATTGCTTGAATCCATGAACAGAGATAAGAGAATTTGTAGCATCTGAAGTCATACCTCGAGTGTATGATTGAATGAACAAATGAAAAAGGTCCAGGTTTGATTATAAAGACTCTCATGATGGGGTACCGGGGTAGACACGTAAGGGAAAGAGTTGATAACAGCATCGTCGCAACGAAATTTCTAACATAAGTTCTTAACTAAATGCATCAATTCTTTTAGCAATTGTTAAGAAATTATCTCCCACCGGGTCCCTACATATTTGAAGGGTACTTACGCAATATACCGATATATATCTTGATTTTAATGTTTCGTTTTATTCTGTATTTGTAGATGTTATAAAACGGTTTTTTACGTGGTTTTAAGAAATAGATAATATTTTTATTTTTAAATAAAATATAAATTTGAAGATATCATATAATCTTGTTTTTTGTTTAATTTCTTTAATTTAATTTTTTTATTATAATTTAATTTAGATAAAAACGAAGTAATTTATTTTTGATTTCATAATATAATTTTTTATAAAGATAATAATTAAAATAATTATCCTAATTATATTTTAAATTTTTTATATTTAAAATGAAATATTTATTTTGTATTTGACTATGTTTATCCGCAGTTAGTTACACGAATTCAAACATGAAACTTTAATAAGTTGTATTTACACACTATCTATTTGTAATTTTGAATTTTAAGTAATATGCATCAATAAACAGTATTTCATGCATAAAAATGTTTTTTAAGAGTTTTTGACAAATGCTTTATAATATAGTATAGATGGTGGTATATTCACCGTTTCGTTCCTTCATTGTAGAATAAAAAAATTAGGTTGTGTTTGATACATGGGACTAAACAATATAAGATGGGATAAAATTCATTTCCCCATGTTGATATGAGACAAGACAAAAATTAACCGTTCCACTTTCGGTAAGATATGGAATAGAGACAAGAATTGGGATTGCGTAGGACAGTATAGATGAAACAAGATGGCACATGGATGGAACAGAAACTAAAAAAATTACTAATCTGCTCCCATTTGATATATACGTAAATAGCATTTGTTTTAATGGTCACAAACGCTCATTACCGTCGCCGCCACCAACAACGGCCTTCGGTAGCCACCATCGGCTACTTCCATCTTCTCTTCCACTATAGCAACCTTCTCCACCACTTTCCTAGCCACTGTTGACCATCAACTACCATCGCCCATAGCCACCACACTACCTTCATTGGCCACCTACACCATAACAACCAATGCCACCACCATCCGCTACCACTACCACCGCCTATCACCACCTTTATCTTCAGCACATCGACCACTACCTCATGTTACTATTGTCGGTTGCCACCACTACAATTGTCTTCCATCTTAACGTCCTATACAATCACCATCTTCCACCACACCACCATTGTCACTACAACAACCTCCACTGCACCTCCGCCAATTTATAAGGATATTACATTCCGAATAAAACTTAGTTTTTTCTCTATATGGACCGGGTTCTTTCAAACTATCATTAATTATACCATTTTTTATTCAAAATATTTGTAAATAAAGTTATTTAAATACTACTTAATTTGTGTCATTTATAACTATTATATGATATATATAAAATCATCAAACAACTTTCAGTTTAGGAACAACTTATCTTGTTCTATCATATATCTATTCTTAGTCGTACTAAACACCAGAGACACACAGTTTATCTTGTCATGTTTTGTGTAGTCTAGTCCTACCTTGTTGTCATGTCCAGTTACATTTAATTATGTCTTGTCAAATCATGTATACGTACTAAATGTTATTTTAGGGTCATGAAATGTGTCATCATATTTTTTTTGTTGTGTACAACCATATATATATATATATATATATATATATATATATTCTGAAAGCACAATGATAACATTTGTTTCTTTTGGTAAAGTTATTTGTATGTCTTTTCTCTTATTCTTGGTACATGTTTGAATCTTGTTTATGTCATTTTTATAGTTTTAGCTTTTATTTTCAAATTTATTATGTTTTTGGAAAAAAAAAACTTTCACATACAAAAATGATGAATTAATAAACAGACCAATAATTGTTTTATAAAAAACATTCATATATTTATTTCTTATAATAAAATAATGTCACCACTTGAAAAAAAATTCCATAAATCCGCCTCTATTCCTACAATAATAAATTTTATACAAAATATCAAATTAATACTAAATATCATGTTTCAATTAAATAAAAACAAATTTTAGTTAAGAATTATTTACTATAATTTAATAATAAAAATATTAAAAATTATCGTAAAGTAAAAC